TTTTTTTTTTTTTCATTTTTAATTAAATTTGTTATTTCTACCCGCCTGTAAGTCTTGTTTAAAACATAGCACACAGAACACACCAAGATTCAAGATTGTGTGTGAAAACGCGCCAAGAAAAGGAAGTAACAAGAAACTGTAACAAATTCGCTACAAAATAATCATTTTTTATTTCTTTCTTTCCTGCTCATTCCTCTCTCTCCATATACATTTTCATTCTTTGCGTCTGCAGTCTGATAGTTTTATTCATAATGGCTGGTACCTATGATAAAGATTGTAGTTCTTGAACATACAGAACAATTATTTGGTCAATTCGCGTTCGGTTCTGTGAGAAAAACATAAGAAATTTGGGGGGACTTTTATGGGTTTTCCATATCAATATAGGAATGAAAAGTCGGGACGATTCACAAATTATCACAATTCCTACACCGAGGTGCCTACCATCACTTGTCAGAGAGTTCAAAGACCGTCGAACTGGCATCATCAAAGCTCTCACCACCGGTATCTCTTTTCGATTGATTTTCATCTCATTGTATTTATGTATTTTCATGCATGTAGCATGATATTTGTGTATTTAGTGTACACATATAAATGTGTGTACGCCTCCATGTCCGCGTACGTGAATTCTTGATTCTAAAATCTTGGTACTTCTTCAATTTGTTCGTTTCTATATTCTGATTTATTATAATCTCTCGGGGCTATTGCAGATTTTGAGATTTTTTATGAGCAGTGCGATCCTGGTGAGTATTTACTTTCATATTCTGTTTCTTGAATTTGGGACCCTTCTTTCATTGCTTATCAACTTTGACTCTTATGCTACTGCAAATCCGTCGTTTTTTCTTTATAGTGTCTTCTGTCAATAATTTCAAGTTCATAGCATTAATTCTACTTTTTAATTGCTGAAGTTCTTGTTATTTTTGTTGTCATCATTCATTCAGCAATCAAGTTTTGTGTGCTCTGGATTATTTATAAAAAAAAGGGTTTTCCAAGGGTGTCCATAATGGAGGTCCATTATGGACACTCCTATGGATTTTGCTATGTAAAAATCTACTTGTACATAATTTTGTACATAATCTTTCACCGAATTGATAAGTGGGGGCCCCCACTTATCAATTCGGTGAAAGATTATTTAAAAAATTTGGTACACCTAGCATAACCCTTTTGCTATTTAGTTGATTGTTGTTTCTGAATGCATCAATGTTCTACAGGAATAGGGCCCCTCCGTCTCTATGGACTTCGTAATGGAACATGGGAAGTCAAGCCGCCTGTTGGGCGGGCACCTCCTGAGTTTCCTGAGCCAGTCTTGGGTATAAATCTCCTTAGAGATCAGAGACAAGAAAAGGATTGGTTATCATATATTGCAGTTTGCAGTGACGCATGGCTTGTATCTATTGTACTCTACTCCGCTGTATACTGTGGACATAAAAAGGAATCAAGGTAATATTTGATTCACATGGGGCTCACCCCCATATGAGAGTCTGTAAATATTCTGGTAAAAATTTGTCTCTACATATCTCATTCTCCGATTGCTGTCTTTTCAGTTAACTAGTAGTAGTGGTGTGACGTTATATTTGTAGAAAGTAATAGACGTGCACCGGTAATAGTCATTGGACATTGGTCCCAACGTGTGTATATGTATCATGAAGATTGCTTTTCACAGGGAAACACTATTCGATGATATCAATGATCTTCCAACGGTACTTGAAGTAGTAACCGAAGCTATTCAGGCAAAGGAACTGGCTGCTGCTGATAACAATCGGAGATTTAGCCAGAGAATAGTAAGTATATTTCTCACAAAGCAACATTCAGGTTCTTAAACAAGTGAAAAATTAAACAAAAGAAGACTTTTTCAGTAATTCCAATTATTTGTTTTGATTATTAAAGATTTGATTTTTTTTATATATTATATACTGCTTTATTATTATTCTTGTAATTTATTAGCTGATTAATAACTGATTTTTTCGTGAACGATGATTCCATACGTTCAAGTTTAGGATGAAATATTACAAGAGGAACCAATTGTAATGGGGAATGAAATAATTCCATACGTTCAAGTTCAATCTCCGAATCCAATAATAGTGGAGGATGAAATATTTGAACAGGAGGATCCAATAATAATGGGGAATGAAATAATTCCATATGATCAAATTCAACCTCCAAATCCAGTAATAATGGTGGCTGAAATAACTCAACAGGTTCAGGTTGAATATGAGGATCCTGATCATTGGAGAATCAAGAAAGTGTTGAAAAAAAGTGATGTAGATTGTTCCTCGAGACTCTTGATCGGAAGAAACCCAGTGTTGACACATATTGCACCTTTCTTTACAAACGATCCATCTGAATTTTGCCAGAATAATGAGGGACTAAGGGTCAGAGTTTTTGATGTCAACACGAGTACAGAGCACATGCTGATGCTTAAAAAATGGAAGACTAACAGTTTTGTACTGTTGGGTAAATGGAAGACAAACTTTGTGAACAGGAGGAAACTCGAGGAGAACGATGAGGTGGGGCTTAGATGGGATGTTAACTCTTCAAGATTGGAATTTGCTGTGCTTAGAAGGCACCAGCATGAGGAATGAGATTGACTTTTGTTGCAGATGATCAAGTTTGTGCATCTGTGAAACAAGATTCTGTAGTAGATGATATAGGGTATGGGTTTTAGAAATTGTTTTTTGTCACTTAATGTTTTGTTAGTTGTATCAAATTTTTCTTAAGTTCTGATGATCCATGTAGTATAAATATTCACATTTATTGCTGATGAACATCAATGACACAGATGTCTTTCTACAGTTTTTATTTGTTTTTGAATGTGGATGTTAAAAAGAAGTATATTATAATAATATTGATGATAGAATTCCATTATATTTCAATAATGATATAATAAAACGTAAGATTTAACAATCCATTATCATTGAGGCAATCGAGAAGATTATAACATTTGAATGGCACTTTTACTAACAAGTATATATTCTGGCTCAATGGAAAGCAATTGGTTCAAAAACAAAGTTCATGCTTAGTGGCAAGTGGTAAAAGATGTGACTGCCAGATGATGGATTGTCAATAAACAGATATATTTAAGATCCAAACGATCGTTTTTTATCGAACTTAATGACTGCAGAGGATGGATTGTGGCATATATTGTGTTGGAATTTTGTATTGGAAATTGGTTGTGACCAATTGAAATGATTTAAGTGGAAATTCCTTGTTTGGTGAATGAGAAATTAAGCCAAACTTAAACCACTTAATACTTGAAATTATTGGAATTGTGTAGAATATTGTGGAATATTCTAGAGAATGTAGATGAAAAGATGTGTCTTTTCATATGGATCATGACTCTTGGAGAGCATGACTTTTGGTATGAGTAACTTCCAATAATTATGATTATTCAAGAGATGTGTCTCTTGGTATGGATGTTCCAACTACTATATATATGGATTCCCTATGTGTTTGGATTAACTACACAACAAACAATTCATTTGATAGTTTCATATCATGGTTACTTTAGTTTTGCATAAAACACTTTATAGAAGTGATTTTTTCTTGCATCAAAATCATGGTTATGGTAGAGAGGGAACTCCGTTCGAGTTCGTTGGTCTAAGTCATTTGGAGTGCTCCTATGGCTTGACGTGGTCGTTGTATCTTGGGAGATGATTGCCGAGAAACCGTTAGCACCGATGCGGGGCAAATTCATCTTAAGGAAAAAGTGTCAAACACTTGCCTCGACCGATCGCATCACTTGCATTTCATCTTTCTCATTTCTGATTTTATTGATAATTAATTTCAGAATATTGCTAACATTGTTTATATGTTTATACTGAAAGGTTGATAGCGAGAATGACGGGCTTTCTTTCCAGATTCATGCACATTCGAAATCGGTAAATCGTTGTTTTATCTTCTCAAATCAGATTTCGGTAAGTCAAATGATGTTTCGATTTCACGCATATTAACGGCATGCTTTTGATGAATATAATATGCACATTATCGGTGTAATATCTCCTACATATTGATGTATAAGGACCTTCTGCCTTGTTCTTAAATATGATTTGTTTGCAAGCCCAATACAATGGGGGACACCATAACAGAAGCAGGAAAAAAACTATGCAGTATTCATGACAATATGGTGCAAGTTGCGGCAAAAATTGGACTATCAGATTGAAAATATCGAATAACAATTCTTTTGTATAATTGAGCACAAATTTTTATTACAGTACAAGATAAATTTCTATATATAGATATACCGACACTACGTTAATTATCAGCATCAGAAAACTAGACTCCATCGATTTGAAACTAGAGTTTTTTCATATTCTGGCTATGTGGCATTATCCTCGACAACATCCTCATTTTGCGCCTTATGAGTTCCTTTTCCATAGTCTCCTCCTCATCAAGAGTGGCAGTTTTATACAGTCAAAACTCAGAAACTAGACCGTTCGTGCTACTTTCAGCATAAGAGAACTCTTATCTCCTTGATTCTTGTTCAAATATACAACACATACATCACTTGTATGCTTACTTTCCAAGTAAAAGCCAACACCATGTTCTCATTGATTAACCTTTGAATCCAATCAACAAAGTAGTGAAGTTTTTTGTTTTTCAAATTCATTCTTTCACCTCATTTTGGGAGCTAGAAAAAAACTAATGGCTTTAAGCACCAGCAGGGGGTCAGCAACAGGCATCAATTTCTTGGGATCCCAGAGAACTTGTAAAGTTGCTCCTGAAAGATGAATTGTGTTTTTCATGACAAGAAAATAAAATAGAAGAAATGAGCAGAATAAAAAGATAAAACTGAAATTTCATCAAAGGGTCCTGAGTTGATGGCAGTTCATTACATTTTCTCTCTTTTTTTCTTATTGCGACTCATGTCTTTGTTTTTCACATTGAGTACTCTTATATGATGGTACAAATTGCACGGAGTCTGATGCTTTCATGGTTGAAGAAGATGGAAAAATCTTCTTGTCCCAGGATAAAATCTTGGGTCAAGACAGGGGCACCACTTAGCAGACCCCCCTCCAATAGGGGGGTGGCGCCCCTGGTTTGACCCGGGATTTTATCACGGGACAAATAGCATGGTCCGAAGAAGATTATGTCTGAATATGTGCAGTCCATAATGATCTTGTCAAGCCAGGCAGCGGATAGTACATGGATGCATTGGTAGGACTCAGACGGATCCAGACTCCAGAGGGCCTTGAAAAATAATTTTTTTTTCCTTTTAATTATAATTTTTTTAAGTATTAGGGAGGGGAAAGGAATTGGCCGTGTTATAAGTCATAACAAAATAACATTGCTGTTATTTCACAATTCAGGGGTTAAGTTTATATGGAAAGAAGACCTAGCAAAATCTGGAAAACTTCAATCCGAAACTAAATTTTCAAATGGATTAAGGAAACATACCATAAAGAAACTACACCAATCAAACAAATTTCAAAATAGAACTAGATTTTATAACCAATGTTTTGAATCACAGTCTAAAAGGGATTTGGAAAATATAGAATTCTTTGTGAATTGAAATCCTGATTTAATTCTTGTATAAATACTTGCATTCCTTCTCCACAACTCTATATCGAAACATTCTCAGAAAAAATTGTTTCGAGTTTTTTCAAATAATGCAGATATGTTCCCCAAATTTGCTAATCTTCCAGGCAGAGAGACGCTTCTAATGTGAATGAAACAAGGATAAACGAACCAGTTTGTTTATCCTTTCACTTAATGCCTTCTTGTGAATGCGAAGTTGAGGATGAAATATTACAACAAGAAGATCCAATTGTAATGGGGAATGAAATAATTCCATACGTTCAAGTTCAACCTCCGAATCCAATAATAGTGGAGGATGAAATATTAGAACGGAGGATCCAATAGTAATGGGGAATGAAATAATTCCATACGATCAAATTCAACGTCCGAATCCAGTAATAATGGAGGCTGAAATAATTCAACAGGTTCAGGTTGAAGATGAGGATCCTGATCATTGGAGAATTAAGAAAGTGTTGAAAAAAAGTGATGTTGATGGTTCCTCGAGACTGTTGATCGGAAGAAACCGAGTGTTGACACATATTGTATCTTTCTTTACAAACGATCCGTCTGAATTTTGCCAGAATAATGAGGGACTAAGGGTCAGAGTTTTTGATGTCAATACGCGTACAGAGCACATGCTGACGCTTAAAAAATGGAAGACTAAGAGTTTTGTACTGTTGGATAAATGGAAGAAACACTTTATGAACAGGAGGAAACTCAAGGAGAACGATGAGGTGGGGCTTAGATGGGATGTTAACTCTTCAAGATTGGAATTTACTGTGCTTAGAAGGCACCAGCATGAGGAATGAGATTGACTTTTGTTGCAGATGATCAAGCTTGTGCATCTGTGAAACAAGATTCTGTAGTATATGATATAGGGTACCATATGGGTTTTAGAAATTGTTTTTTGTTACTCAATGTCTTTCTACAGTTTCTATTTGTTTTTGAATGTGTGTGATGTTAAAAAGAAGTATATTATAATAATATTGATGATAGAATTCCATTATATTTCATTAACGATATAATAAAACGTAAGATTTAACAATCCATCATCATTGAGGCAATCGAGAAGATTATAACATTTGAATAGCACTTTTACTAACAAGTATAGATTTTGGTTCAATGGAAAGCAATTGGTTCAAAAACAAAGTTCATGCTTAGTGGCAATTGCTAGAAGAGGTGACTGCCAGATGATGGATTGTGGCATATATTGATGTATAAGGACCTTCTGCCTTGTTCTTAAATATGATTTTTTTCAAGCCCAGTCCTTGAATCCTTTGTAACCAAATTACAATGGGTGACACCATGACAGAAGCAGGAAAAAAACTCTGCAGGATTCATGACAATATGGTGCAAGTCGCGGCAAAAATTGGACTATCAGATTGAAATATCGAGTAAAAATTCATTTGTATAATTGAGCTCAATTTTTATTACAGTACATGATACATTTCTATCTATCTAATTATACATAGATATACCTACACTACGTTAGAATTGTCAGCATCAGAAAACTAAACTCAAAGATTGCCGATTTGAAACTAGAGTTTTTCATATTCTGGTTATGTGGCATTATACTCGACGACATCCTCATTTTGCGCCTTATGAGTTCATTTTCCATAGTCTCCTCCTTCTCAAGAGTGGCAGTTTTATACAGTCAAAACTCAGAAACTAGACCGTTCGCGCTACTTTCAGCATAAGAGAACTCTTATTTCCTTGATTCTTGTTCAAATATACAACACATACATCACCTGTATGCATACTTCCAAATGAAAGCCAACACCATGTTCTCATTGATTAAACTTCGAATCCAATCAACGAAGTAATGAAGTTCTTTGTTTTTCAAATTCATTCTTTCACCTCATTTTAGGAGCAGAAAAAAACTAATGGCTTTAAGCACCAGCAGTGATTTGGGGGTCAGCAACATGCATGAATTTCTTGGGATCCCAAAAAACTTGTAAACTAGTAAAATTTCACATTATCATCAAATAGAGCATACAATGAGAAAAAAGTTCTCAGAATGATCAATAATTTTTTTTCTGAAACAACCAGTGTGGGAGGATAACAATTCAATTGAATATAAAACCCAATAAAGCATCAAAAATTGAAAATGTAGTTAATAATTAGTACCAAATAAGAGAAATTGAAAAAGGGTAACTTGGATAACTTGCATTTTTTTTTTTTAATTTTAAGTGAAAAAATACCAATAACCAATAGATTATTTACTTACAAGCAAACTTTTAAGCTTAACAGAACATGATTGGATCTTTTGTTCTCGCATATTATCTGTTGGGAATAAGCAGCCTAATGTAGACATCAATACACAACATAAACAAGTTCAACAGCTCAGTAAACCAATGACAGAGTTCAATACCAATCCCAGAATCACCAGTATACAATATGCAATCCAAACCTCTTTAAGCATAGCATAAAGTATCAACAGAATTCAATATGTGAAATCAAACATATACCAATGCATTTACAGATTACAGAAATCAGCATGATACAATCAAACCATATAAACTGAAAATGGAAACTTAACAGAATCTGAAATCATAAAATGACATAGTTAAAACCGAGAGCAAGACTTAGAACAAAATCGAGAGGAACTTCCCTTTTACTGGCCGAAATGTTTAGGCTCAGGAACAGCCTTCCATGCTATGCAAATCACCATCCAAAGAGAGCTAGAGAACCAGCCGAGCCTCTTCACACTTGGCTTGGATCATCGACCAAGAGGTCTACCAAAAAACCGCCAAGAATCTGCCCTTAAACTGACCAAAAACCACTGAGAAACACCAACATCACTTAGCCGCTATTTCAGGCCTAAGTATACAAGGGTTTCTTCAATTAGATAGGCTAAGGATCAATTTAGAACAAGAAGGAAGGAAGCCAGAAGAAAACGGAACTCACAGAGAAGAGAAAAAGGGTCTATCTTAAGAAGAGAGTCAAAGTCTTGTCTTGTCTAAGAAATAGAGAGAGACATAGGCGTATGAAAGAAGCTACCCAATTCAAAAAAGTCATGGTCTATGATAAAATATCTCACAAGATTAAATCATAACCATTCAACTCATCCAAGGGCCACTAATGACACAAGCCCAAATAATATGAGAACCACATAAGCCCACATTATCGTATACTTTCACTATGGAGCTTCATCTGTTTTTACTTCTCATAGAAAAACCGGCGATCCAAATCCTAGCCAGAGAGTAGTAACACATCTGCGTAAAAAAAAAAAAGAAAATAATGAAGGGGGAGCAAGTTTGGAGCCTGTGGAGAGAATAATGGTATCCATGAATTCTGGATTTTCCGTGTCTTACACCAATAGATCGTTCCAGTTAAAATATATCGAGCATTACAAGAGTTCCACTTGCAGGCTCTTTCCTAGATGGCAAGATTTATCCTGGAAGGCAGGAGTTCTCCTGAAAGGCAAGGTGCAACATGTGTTGACTCATTCGACACTTTGACAGATCAGTGGGGGTTCTTGGATCTTGGCAAGTTTGGGGTACATCCTGCGGTTTACCTAGTCCGCATCCTGAGGGGCCAAGACATAGACCCCAGTATTAGTCGTCGAAGGTGGACACATGAGGTTGCCAAAATATTTGGTAAATGACCTACTTGTTATATTTTGAGTACGCTAGGGACATCATCTGTAATTTTCCAATGCTTCCTTCAAATTCCTTTCCACATTCGCAATATCAAAATTTCAAAAAGAAAAATGATATTCATCCCCAGTGGGGATGCATCCCCAATCTATGTGGATGTAAATAATTGGTTAAATGATAGGTGAAATTAAATGACTTATTTAATTTCACATATCATTTAATGCCACATTAACGCCACATAGACTGGAGATGCATCCCCAGTGGGGATGAATAGCATTTCTCTTCCAAAAATGGTAGCTGCCGCCTGCCAGACCCTATATTACCTACTTACTGATGTATATGTTTGTGATTGAAATAATATTACACCATTAGTTTGTGACAAAATAGTTAAACTAACAAAAATAGGAGGCAATGGGTCCACGTCTTTTTATCGTTCGAAGAATCAAAATACTATTAAGTACGGTGACATAACATATCATTTATTTGATGAATAAGTTCAAGACAATAGTGAAGTGAGCTAGTTCGTGCTTGGCTTGTTCAAAGGCGAGCACGAATCATATCACGTGGTGGACCGAGCCAAGCGACTCAGATCAATTTATTTAACACCCTAACTACGACCCTTTCTTATCTTATACGTAGGTTTTAAGAGTGCCTTGTTTAAAATTTAAATTAATTAATTAAGCAAAAAGTTTCACTTGGCCAACCACCACTCTCCTCCCACGGACCTGGCGACCCGGACCCCTCCCTATCTCTTGGGACACTTCCACTTCCAATTCCAATGTGCCATAAAATTAAGATGTACGTACTTTTGCTTTTCTGGTCAACTTAAGCAGCATTCAATTATGAGATGTAACCTTTTGTCACATTCCTTAGCAACAACATAAATTAAGGACATGTGACATGTTACAATGAGTGACGTATAGAAAACAAAGGAAATCGTCATTTATTCACTTAAAAAATGGATACAAACGTTGAGAAGCTCTTGGAAAAATGAAGTCTCCCTTGAATCGTAAGTCGTCTTGTCAATCATGTAGTCACCATGAATCCCACGGCATTATAATTCATCGAAGATCTAAAAAGATTTTCACAATTCTCGCAACACTTTTTCTGAGTTTTAGCGATTATTTTCATGATAGTTTGATTTATTACTAATAAAAAAATCAGTAGTTAAACACGTACAAAATTACTTGTAAAATTATAAAATTCTTCATAAATTAATTTCCTTTTCTATTAATTATGCAATTAATTTTCTTTGTTGTAACATAATTCATATTACATCTAAGAACCGAATAAAATAAAGTGAAGCTGACATGGACCTTACTTATGCAACGAATGAAGAACAAAGGGCAAAAATAAAACACCTATTATTCCCCAGCTTGGCACCACCCTAAGCATACATCATAGATATATCAATATTTTTTGGATAATGCTAAAGGTACATAATACAGTTTATGAAAACCAGCCTTTTTTGCTTGGACAATGCTAAAGGTACATAATGATCTATATAAGGGTCTACATAATGCAGATGTGGCAATCATCTGGTGGTTGATGTGTAAGTGTCATATTTGAATTAAAGGTGGGATCACATGTCACATATGCATTATGTAGACCCTTATGTAGATATTTATGTACCCCTAACATTGTCCATATTTTTTATAGCCATTAGGGATATGGATTTGACTTTTGCTGGAATTACAAATTAATCACATGTCATTGTTGCCTCCAAGAAACATTAATATTAAGGTGGTCGTTAGACATGATATTTGAAATGTTAAAAGTTGTTTATGAAATTAAGAAGCTACTTCATAATAACATGTTTGGATAACTTTTGAAATTATTTTGTTTGACCAGAAGAGCTTTTAGATAAAACTGATTCAGAAAAATGACGCAGAATGGAAGTTCTAAGTTTACAAACGTAAACACAAATGAGAGAAAATTGTAATTCACAAGGAAAATAATAGCCTCCAAAATTCAATATGTTTATTTAGAAAACAAGAATCTTTAAATAGTCTCTAAAAACCCTAATTTAAGCAAAAGATCATAATAGACATCCACTAAATCAAAGCATAAAAAAGGAAAAACAAAAAATAACGTTAAAACTTTGATTGTCTGCTAACACGTCTTAAACTGCGAATTTGAGGCTGGAACGACGTCAATTGGGGTAACCCGAGTTGGGATAGTATGGAGCGCTGAGAGACGTTTTCGAAAACATATTATAATAGAAAATCCGACATCGGTGTAAAAAGTTGTGTCTGTTTATTTGGAACAACTCTTTTAGCCAATTTTCGATCAAATTCTTCTTCAAACTCTAACGCCAATTGTCCTACATCAATATGACTTCAGGTTTTATCTCATATATTTATTTTTATTTTCATTTGGACTTCCCACGTTGGTATGTAAAGGTTTCTGTGAACGCAATATGTACATATATCAAAATCCATAAAAGTGAATGTCAAGCTTGGAAGCAGTGTGTCACGTTAATTTTGTCATGTCATGTTGACGAATCGTTTTATTTCACGTTACGAAATTGAAAGATTGGAAACCTAATTGCTAAAATTTAAAGGTTAATGCGCATAGAGGAATAAGAAATAAATTCGTGGAACTATTAGCGGATCTCGTGCATGGTTTGAGCTGTATTTGGGAAGTGATGGAGCAGCATCATGGATGAATAACAGAATGAAGATTGGCAAAGAATTTAGGGGT